CTTATAAAAAAAAAAACCCCAACAAACTACCTGCAGAGAAGTGCTTGAAACATCAGTGAGCAGCTAAATGATGGTCACAGGACGAGCACCTGCTCCCCGGACCGGCCGCCACGCAGCCGCCCGCCTCCTGCCTCCCACAGGCGAGCTCTGTCACGACCGTGATGCGCCCGGACCTGCTCATGGTGTCGCCGCTGCTTGGCGTCGGTGCGGCGAGGCCCTAGCCCGTGGGGAAGTCCGTGTCAAAACTGCAGTAAGTTGTAGGACCTCCAGCTGGTGCCCCCGGAAACATGGAGGGCCCCCGGGCATGGAAAGCCCACGCCTTCGGTGGCAGGAGCGCTGAGAGGCGAGGACGCGTCCTCCCTTCGAGCACAACAGGCGCTCCTACCGTCCGCGGTGAGCGGACACGCCCCGTTGGTGCCCGGAGGTGCTGCACCACGACACCCTCCCACCCACCAAGGAGGGCAACTCCAGCCGCCCCTCGGCCGCGCCGACATCTGGTTCTGCCGGCCGTTCCCAGTCACCCTTGGCCTGCACCGTCCTGCTCGGGTGACACGTCTCCGCGCTGACCGAGCCCGGCCTCGCCTCCGGGGACGCCTGCCCCTCACCTGGTTGCCCACTTTACCTGGTGGTTTGACACCCTCTAGCCACTCTGACGGGCGCCCTTCAGTTGCAGAGTGTTACAAATACAGTGCCGCCCTCTGGCCCCCTTTCTCACTCTCCGACGTACGTGCTCCGGGGGGCGTATGAGCCGGCTGCCCCACGTGGGGCGCCCCCGCTCTCGGCCGGTCGCCCCGTAGATGCCCAACCACCTGCCGGGGCGCCGGCCGCGGGCATGGCCTCGCGCCCTGGCCAGCACCACGTCCTGAAGGCCGGTCCGTCCTCCGTTTCTCCGAGCAGGGCTCGGCAAAGGTTTCCTTCAGGGGTCAGAGACTTAACTGTTTCAGGCCTTGCAGGCCGAGGGCCGAATCCAGGGTGTTCCGGTGGGGCTCGGACGACGCCTCGCAGTCGCAGAGGCCGCCGCGCTCAGACTCGGGCGGCCAGGAGGCGCGGCAGGCACGGCTGGGCCTGCGGGCTGTGGCGGGCTGACCCCTGCCGCGGACGGCCGCCCGGGCAAGAAATCCAGGGTCCGCACCTCGCGCGTTTGACCAAATCCGTCAAATCGTGTTATGTGAACTGGGTGAATTTTGTTGTATAAAAATGACACCTTTATGAAGCTGATTTTTTGAAACAGTGGATGTTTTATTTCTGGGCTCGCGGCCCTGGCCTGCGGGTCCATCTGACCGTCTCTGCTCCCAGGCCACAGCGTTTCCCTCCTGTGGGTCGGTGGCTCTCCCGGGGCGGGGGGCACGTTTGGCTCCGGTTGCGTGTGCGGTGGCGGGGGTGCTGCCGGCCTCTGGGGTGGGGGCCAGGGCCCTGCAGCGCAGGACGGCGCCCAAACGCCATCGGAGCCTTGGCGCAGAAGCTGCTGGCGTCCTGGCGTGTCCTGCTGTCTGACAGACTGAGCCCGTGTTCCTGTTGTTCCGGGCCATTCTTGGCCTTTGCATTTCCGCTCAAGTACGTAGAGCCAGCTCTTTACCCTCCTAGGGACAAGAGACAGCCGCGCTGGGACGGCGTGGGGTCTACGGGAGCCTTTGGGCGGGGCTTTCAGCCCCAGGACATCGACCCTGCGAAGCCCGGAGCCCGACACGTCCTCCTTCTTTAAAGGGTGTCTCTGAGTTTCCCAGTGATCGTCTTGAACGACTTGCTTAGGCTTCTTCCTAGCTGTACGATCATTTTCAGTAGTATTGCGCTTCATATCTAGTTCAAATTTCAAATTATTCATTCCTGGTCGATAGAGGTCTGATGGCTATTACATCCTTGCTATCCTGGTAAGGTGTCTACAGATTCTTCCCGGTTTTCTACATTCACCATCGTACAAGCTGCAAATGTGTTCGTCCTATTTATTCTGCCCTCCTTCTGTTGCCTAACTTTGACCTCCAGTGTGTGACGTAGGGACGACAGTGCCTTGTTTCCGATGCCCAGGGAGGTTCTGGAGACCCCCATGGTGGGCTGGAGGTTTGCCGTTGACTTTCCGTAGACTCCCTCTGGGGGGTTAAGGATGGTCCTGCCTTTTCCTAATTGGTTGAATATCTTCACCCTGAACAGGGTTAACTTTTACAGTCACTGGTCCTGCGGTTTTCACGCTCCAGTCTGCGTTGAATTGCCTGGATTAACTTCCACGTGCCAAACCAACCTCGCGTCCCTGGAACGGGCCCGTGTGCCCACGATTTGCCCCACGGATACATGGCTGGATTCCAGTTTGGTCACATTTTGCTTCGATTGTTTTCCCCCATTTACTCAGGAACGAGGCTGGCCTATAATGACCCTCTCTCTTGCTGCCTTTTCGAGGTTTTGCTGGCTTTGGGCAGAGTTCTTGGTGCCTTTGACAAAGCGCCTGTTGGTTTGGGGAAGCCATTCTTCTCGTTCAGCATCTGGACAGGCTGACACCGGATTAATTTTAGCTGCTCTGTAAGGCTTGGGTAGAATTTACCGGCGGAAACATGACGCTGTGGGCATTTCTCTGTGATAAGGATTTTAATTTAAATTTTGTTTGGAATAATCAAACAGTTCCGATTTTATTCCCATGTTAGTTTTGGTAAGCTGTATATTTCTAGAATGTTACCCGTGTCTTGTATGTTTTCAAATATATTGGTATAGATTGTGCATAACACCCTCCAATGATCTCCACGATGTCTGTGAAATTGGTTGTGAGGCCCTCTTTTCCTTTCTGACTGTGATTGCATTTTCTTCCTCCCTCCCTCCCTCCCTTCCTTCCCCGGCCAGACTGGCTTCATAGTTTACTGAGGCAACTTTTGTCTGTTGATTCTTTCTTTTTTTTTTCTCTTGGTTTTACTATTTCCTTCTTTCTACCTGGCGTTTCATCTCTTGTTCTTTCTACAACTTCTTGAGATGAGCGTTTGGATCGCCGATTACCTGCCTTGATGGGGAAGCCTCGGCTCAAACCTGCAACCCCAGGGTCCAGCTCCTTTAGGACGCTGGGCTCAGCGGCACCTACAAGGACATGTGACACTCCTTTCTGGAACACGGACTCTCCCATGGAGCGGAGGCGGTGTGGTCCCCGGGCTCAGCGTCCCCACCTGCAACCCCGGGGACGTCTGGGTTAGATGAGCTGGTGCCACTGGGAGCAGGGTCTACGGGGCATCCTGGAAAGTCAGGACGGAGGACTCTGGCCTGAAGTAAGGAAACAGGACGTCACGGGACATCACGGGGGGCCGGCTGGTGGCGGCGGAGGCTCTGCCCGCCGTCTGTGGGGCCTCCTTCTGCGCACCCAGGGCTGAGGCCCCTCGGTCGCCCGCGGCGGCTCAGCGGGACGCTCCGCCCTGGCAGCCTGGCCCGGCGTTGGTGCCGCGCTCCTGCCGGCGCTGCCTGATTGCAATCACCTTCCCGGGGGGATGAGGGGGATCGATTGTCTCAGAAGCCTCTTCATTAGCACGCCTAGCAAAAGCGGCCATTATATTTGCAACGAGTGCCTTTTGTCCGGAGTCCTGGAGAGGTTTCAGGGGGCCTCCTTGCGCACAGGCCATGGGGGAGTGCACGCAGGCGGCGGCGGCCGGCTCCACCCGCCGGGAGGCCCCCGCTGCCCCGGCCCCCACCCCCGCCCCCGCCCCCCCAACGACCCTCAGGGCACGGCTGTGCTCCTAACTCCGGAAAGAATGAAAAAAATGAGTCCTTTGCCTGGGTTCCGTCGCCCCCGAGGGGCGGCCCTGGTTTTGGGGGACAGGGCTGTTAGAAGCCAAGCAGGTGTCTGGTTCCAGGCCCTCGGGGTGTCCTTTCCGGCAGGGTCAGCTCATCCCCCAAACGCTGTCACCCCAGGCCCCACCTTCTCTTCTGCTACCTGACCCGCGATCCCTGTATCCCAAAGTGGGTGCCCTGGAGCGCCTGGCTCGCAACACACCCTGGGAAGAGGGTTCCTCGGCCCCCGGGTTTGGGGAAACCAGCAGACTGTGTCCCGCCGAGGCTCGGACAGCTCATCGTGGATGGTTCTGGGTGAACCTCAAGCCAGGCTTTGGGCCACTTGGTGAAGCCCTTCGCTGCCCACGGGCCCTTTTCCGAGGGACCCAGGGCTGCCAAGGTCACCTTGAGCTGCTGTGCCACGTGCAGCGTCACAATATGACGGCCCACGGGACTCACGTGGACCGTGAGGGGCTCCACACACTTTCCCCCGCCCCCGGCCGTCCCTCAGACGGGTGGGCGTGAGCCGCCGGCCAGCGGGGTGGCGGCGCCTCCGCTGGCCCTTCCGCCCCCGCGCCTGAGGCCGCTGCTGCAACACGGGATGGGCAGAAGGGGGCCCGTGAGCCCTAACACTGAGGACTCCGGGGTCAGCCACGGGCTGCTGGGGCACACAGCGGCGAGAGAGCCCCTTAGGGGCCAGGGGGGGTGAGCGCACCCCACCGCGTCCTGCAGGCACGGCCTGCGGGCAAGTCGGGGAGGCGCTGCCACAAGGAGGCGGGGGTCGCTCGATGGCTTGTGTGCCTGGGAAGCCAACCCCCTCCCTCCCGCCTCCTTCCCCGTCCCTGCAGCCCCCCATCCCCTCCCTCCCTTACGCCACGCGTGCGCGGGTCTCTCTCTCTCTCTGGATCGCGCTGACGCCGGCCGCTCCGGCTGTCCTGTGCGGTTGGCCGCGGGGCCTCTGCCTCACCTCCCGTCCCTCCGGGCCTCAGGGCCCTGGCCCCGGGCGGGAGCAGCCGCAGCAAGGGCCGGGCCCGGCACCTGCCGCCAGTGCGGGGCGCTCACCGCAAGTACTGCCAGGGATGTACACATGGCGGCGGCAGCCTGTAAGCTGAGCGCGGGCCGAGTCCCCGCCAGAGGGTGGCCCTGCCTCAGGGAGGTGGACAGGCAGAGGGGACCCCCAGCCGGCGCGGCCCACGGAGCAGTCCGTCTGTCGGCGGGGGCCTTTGCAGGGGCCATGCGCTGAGCCCGCCGCGCGTGGGCTCCCTTACCTGGTGTCCGGAGAGCGCGGACGAGGTCTGGGCCACCAGCAGCCGCACCACGGCAGCCCAGCGCTCAGCCGCCTGGCCGTCCCACGCGGTCACCGTGAAGGCCACCTCCCTGGAGGGGATCCACAGCTCCCGGGCAGCGAAGACCGTGCCGTCCGCCCCGACTTTGAAGTCCACGCTGTTGGTCTCATATTGCGTCCCCTCGGTCCCCACACAGCTGTTGAACTTGACTGCAAGAGGAGGGAGAGAAGGGTCAGGACCCTGCAGACGGCGGGCGGGGCAGCAGCCGCGGGGGTGCCTTCGAGGCCGCGGGCTTGGCGACATAGAGCCTGTGCGGACCGCCGCTGCTGGGCGTTCCCTCCCCTCCCGGGGGCACGCACAGGCCTCGGAGAACAGAAGCGAGAGACCAAGGACACGCTTGCGTGAAACCCGAGACTCAGCTGTGCGGCGTTCCCGCCAGGGCCCGGCGGTCTCCACCTGGAAAATGGCTCCCCAGCCCGCTGCCTGCACACCTGCCCCGCCCCGGGACACGGCGGAGCGCGGGACGGGCTCGCCTCCGCTGTGCCCTCTGGCCACTTCATTCCTCGACACGGGCCAGACACAGAGGCCAGGGTCCAGCAGGGCGGCGGGGCCAGAGTGGGACCGGCAGTGACCGTGGGGCAGCAAAGCGCTTTCTCGGTGACCTGGACGCGGGACGCAGGCTCGACGTTGCTTCCCAAACACTATTCGGCGCCGACGGCCAGCCCCCTAAGGAATGACTCTGTGGCTGGCGGGTGTCCCTCGGCGGGGGGCCGGGGAGGGGAGACACCCGGGCGCCACGCATGCTCGGCCCACGAGCCGCCTGTGCCGCTGTGAACCGCGAGGCGCCTGCCGCGGGCGTCACGCTCTGCTGATAAGGGCGCCGGGCGGAGTCGCCGAGTGTTCACACAGACGTGGGCCCCTCCGCAACTGCGAGGGGAGGCCTGGGTTTTGACGTGACTTCACGGCCACGGCTTCCTTGATTTAGTTACTATTTATTCTAGAAAGAGAAGAAAGCAAAGCTCCTCACTCTCACGTTGGATACCGTGTCTTCCCTCTGCGCTCCCTGTGGACAGTCGTCGGCCCTGAGGTGCTAAACGACACGCGTGTTCCCTCGTCTGGAACGCTTCGCCTCAGACAGCGCCCCCGCCACCTGCGCCTCCCCCTGGGGGTTTAATACGAAGACGCTTTCAAATGGGACGGAACCAGGTGTTTCCGCCCCTTCTCCCGCGGGCGGGGGCCCCAGTGCCGCACGAATGGGGTCCTCCGATGCCTGACGCCGACTGAGGTTGCGAGCGGCTGTGGTCCCACGGAGCCCCCCCTGTGACACCCGGAAACCCCAACGTCCAGCTGCCCTGCAGCCGCGCCCGGGCCGGTCGGCTCCGTCCAGCGGGCTGTGCTCACATCCTGCCCGAGCACCTGCGCCCTCCCAGAGGTGGGCGGGGGTGGGGGGGCGGCCGCCAACACGATGGGGGGCCCTGCCACTCGTCGGCAGGGCTGGGGGACCAGCTTCCGGAAGGAGGGGATCAGAACCACGCGGCCCCCGCAGGGTGCCGGGCCGCGGCCGCCCCTTCGGCAGGACTGGTCCATCAGGCGTGTTCTTCCCGGACACCCGGGCCTTCGTGACGCGCGAGCGCCGTGGACCCGCCCGGCTGAGACCCTGGGGGTCGTGGGTGTATCGTGCTCAGCACACCAACGTCCCGCAGAATGTCACCGGCGCTCCGCCTCGCCCTAAAAACGTGGCTGAGCCTGGGGAGGGCAGACGCTGGGGAGACACGGCCGAGGCCCTGGGACCGGGGGCTCCAGTCCTCGGGATGCCAGCGGCCGTGGCCCGGCGCCAGAGGCGGAGGCTTCCCTCTCCCTCGGCTGCTGGAGCCGCCGGGCCACGCCGCCGCGGCGTGGGCGTTTACCGATCTCGCGTGCGCCGTCCTGCGAGCCGTCTCTGTCTCCTCTTCAGCCCCCCTCCTTCCTCTTGCACCCTTTCAAAAAGTGCGTGTTGGGCGAGCATCGATCTGTGCAGGCGAAGCACCCCAGGAGCTGCGAGGCCCGGCAGGGGTGGGGCGGCCCCCGGCGGGGACCCCGGCCCTGCCACCCGCGACAGGCCCCCGGAGGGAGGAGCCGCCAGCGACGGCTGCCACCGCGTCTGGGGCCGAGAGGGCGAGCAGCCCCGGTGCCCCGTGCTCTGTTGAGACTTTTCTTACTGTATTCGTTTCTGCTCTTCTAAGAGTCCTGTGGAATCGGTAGAAAACGTCTCCCTCCACGTATTAGATAAAATCGTCCAGTATGGAAAAACTCGCAGTCCGATTTAAATTCAGAATGACACGTGTATCCCGGCTCAGCGTAGGGCGTCCCGGGACGTGCCCTGTCTCCCGCCCGCCCAGCGCTCGGCTCGAGCGCCCGCAGGGCCGCAGGCGGCGGCTGGCATCGCCCCCTTTGCCGGCGAGGGCCTGTGTGAGTTACGGAAGGCGTTCCGCGGCCGTGCAAAGGGGCAGCAGGATCACACACACACACACACACACACACACACACACACACACACGCTCACACGTAAGGAGGCCACAGTTAGCAACAGCCGGTGGCAGCCAGGTGCAGCCCACAGTGTTGCCTGGGGCAGAAATGAAAAGGTCGTGACATCAGACGGGGCGCTTCCTGAGGACGCGCAGGGTCTCGGGGCCTGCCGTCCCCGACCCGCACTCGGAAATCCACGCAGGAGGGATGGCGCTCTCTGCCGGGAGGGGCGGGCCATCCGGGGCTCTCGGGGGTGGTTCCCGAGGTCCAGCCGCGTGGACGCCTCCTTTTGGGGGCCAGTGTGAAGGAGGGCGGGAACCCGGGGGGGCGGGGCCGGCCAGCGCCGAGGCCTGAGGGTCACGCCAACCTGGTACCCAGTGCGCACTGTGGCGCGAGCGGGCCCTCGGTTGCGCCTTTTCTCCGGGAACGTGCAGGAACCTCCCTCCAAGAGGATGGTGTCCCCCAGCCACCTGGCTGGGCCCCAGCGGGGCCGTCCAGCGCGCATGTCGCAGTCTGTGCCGACAACGTGTGTCCACGGACGGAAACGCACGGTGCCCTCATTAGGAGGCTCCGTGTTAACCCTTTACCCTTGTCATTTTTAATTGCTCACTCAGAGAGGAACAGAGGGGACCGGGAGCCGGAGACGGGGAGCAAGTGACACTCAGAGCCACCTCCTTGTCGGCAGCGGCCTGCCTGACATTTCTGGGGGCAGGACGCGGCGCGGCCCCGAGGCCGGCGTGCTGGGGAGCGGCGCTGTGGCTACGAGAGGAGACGTCGCCTCTGGTTGTCTGCTTGTTAGGGGGACTGAGAGAGCTCCGACAGGCCGGAGGTGAGCGCGCAGCGAGGACTGTGCCGGGGAGCACCATGCCCCACGGCCCGCGGCCCCGCCGCCTCCGCGCCTCCGCCCCTCCCTCCGCCCCTCCGTGCCTCCGCCCACCCCTCCCTCCGCCCACCCCTCCAGGCATCCATCCACCACCCGTCCCTCCATCCATCAACCACCCACCCACCCACCCACCCGTCCCTCTGTCCATCCTTCCGTCCGCCCCTCCGCCCCTCCGCCCCCCATCCCCGCACGCAGTGCCTCTCCAGGGTAAGCCCAGGCCCCACCCAGGGGCTGAAGAGTTGGGGGAGGGCAGTGCAGCCCCAAGGTTGTTGGGGACTGTCCTCTGGCCCCCAAGGCGGCCACCAGCCTCCCTGCCTCACCGTGGCTCCCAACACGGGGCCGGCCTGGGGGCCGGGCTGTGAGCGGGGGCGGGGGGCGGGCCCTCCCCTCCCCACCGAGGTCTCCAGCCCCAACCACCAGGGCTGCCTGGCCCGAGGAGGTGCTTGAGAAATGTTCGTTGGATAAATGCACAAATTCCATTTCCCTCCCCTTTGAAAATGAACGTCCAATAAGCTATCGAGCCACGAAGAGACACGGAGGAACATTTGATGTGTGTTATGAAGTGGCAGGAGCCAGTCTGAAAAGGCTGTGCACCGTGGGGCCCCACTCAGGGGGCATCCGGGGAAAGGCAATAGGAGGGGGCAGTGCCAGGCCAGCGTTGCCAGGGGTTGGGGGGCACAGGGGGGCACAGAGGGTCGGCGGGGCCTGGCACTGCCCGGGGAGACGCCGTGAGGGTGGGTGCGTGTCCTCACACATTTGTTCAGACCGCAACACTTGCCTCGCCCAGAGTGACCCCAGTGCCAGCCGCGGGCTCCCGCCGATGACAATGTATCACCATCGGCCTCTCCATTTAAACCCGGGAAGCTGCGCAGGGGAGAGAGGGGACGCGGGACCCCGCACTTCCTGCTCGGCTTTTCCCCGAATCTAAACCTCCTCAAAGAGATAAAGAAAAACGGATGTTCGCCCTCCGTGAGACGCACCGCCTCCAGAGGAAACGGTGTCTCAGAAGTGTTCAAACTCCCGATGTAAAGCAAAACACTGAACGCTCTTTCATGCCGTTTCACGGGCGGCCGGGAACAGGAAACCAGCTTCCCCGGGGGCTCCCCGGTCCCCAGCCGGAGCCGCGATCTGACACCGTTACCGACACTCTCCCGGGACATGCTGTCCAAAAAATCAGCCAGGGCGGTAACCCACGTGGGTCCTAGTCGGAGCGGCTTGCGTTTCTCGGTGTGTCCCCCTCCCACCCGATACTGCCCCGATAAACTCTAGTATTTAATATTCGTGGCACTTTTTGAAAACCGGGGGCGCTGACGGGGGTGGGGGTGCTGCGCCAGGAAGGCTGCGGAGCTGCGTGCGCCCCGCCCGGGGCCGCGCCCGCGGGGCAGTCCTCTGGGCTCCGGAGCTGATGAGCAGCCCTTCGTCCACACACGTCCACACGGGGCTGGGGAGACGCGGGGGCGGGGCGGGGAGGGTCTAGATCTAAGGAGGGCCCTTAACGCAGTTCTTGGCCTGGGGCAGTCAACGTGAGGCCTGAGCTCCCTGTGAGTGTGTCCCCCTGATGTCCCCGGCAAGTGGGGCAGAGGGGCTCGTGCTGGTGGCGGCGCTAACAAACCTTCCCACCCGCTCACAGAGGGAGGCGGCCGCCGTCCAGCCGCTGACGCGCCGACACGCCCTGACACGCGCTCAGAGCGCGGTCAATAAATAGCCCGCTGCGTGCCCTGGTCAACCAAAACACCCCCAGTGGGGCCACCGTGAGTCGGGGGCTGTCGGCAGGGGTTGTGCCCTGTGCCCGGAACTGTGGCCCCTCGGTCAGTGCCCAGG